AAGGACGCACGTGCCACAGCTGGAAGCTGATAAGAAAGAATGCCTGTTTTTTGCTGAAAGATGGTCTAAGACAAGAGTTTTCAACCTGAAAGAAAGAAAAAAATGACAAGGAAAACACAAGAAATCCCAGGGAAAGTCCCATCCAAACTACTTGCTGCACTGCAAGAACTGAATCAAGGGAAGCGCCGGGAAAAAGGAAATTCCCCTAAGAAACCTCCACAGAGACAGATGAGCAAGCGAGGTAGGACAGGAAAATTCTAACAGAATCTGTAATACAGACACTTGGAAACAGGAGGCGGGAATGAGGAAATGTCCAAAGCATTAAAGGATGGAAGAAGGTGAGACAAGACGTTTCTGAAGCACTGTCCTAGCAGTCCAAGCACAAACCTTCATTCAGAGAGACTACTGTTAACTACAGATTTTTCCAGGTGGCGCATCAGGAAATACTTACAAAACCATTATCTTTTAAAGATAGCGGGGAACTTGTTAAATCCATTGAAACCTGAGGGAACAGGAAAAAAAATTACAACATTGTGTGTAATAGGTTTTCTTTGCAGCAGAACAGAACACCAGAATGGAATACCAGAAGCTGTGTGGGCTAAAAGAACTTTTGAATGTAAATGTTGTATCTTTTTATAAGCAAAAGTGATATATATTGGATATCTGAAGGCTCCTTCCTTACTAAGCATAAAAGCCACAGACATATGTGAGGAATTCTACATTGCACAACTTAATTTTTCAGTCCTGAAACTTACGTACTTACCTTTACGTTATTTTTGTACCATTACACACATGCGTAATAAATTGTATGCTCTGTGCCTAAGAGATATAACCCTTAAACCTGCTTAACACAAATGAAACCACTTCCTTTACACAGCAGGTAGTGTAAAACCTGGAATCTGTTGCCACAACATTTTGTGGAGGCAGATAAAAAGGAATTTAGACAAGTTCATGGGCCACTGATCCAGAAACAGATGCTAAGGCGGCAAAGGTTCCTGAGCACATGGATGCCAGGGCAGCGCAAGGGCTCCGCGCCGCGGGTTAGAGGCTCCGTCAGCAGCGTTGTGGAACGGCTGTCGAGCCCCGGGTAGCGGGCAGCCCCGCGTCCCGGCCCGGCTGGACACTGCGGATGCTCTCGCCTGGGTATTTGGAGCTTGGTCGTTACCCACCATCACCGTACCTGCTGCATTCAACAAGGAGGCTTGGCGCTGAGGCCATCTTTGGTTCACGATCCCTGTCTGGTTTGCGTTAAGTAACCAGAATTTAACGAGTTCTGTACTGATTCCTGATTTAGGGAAGTGAAAGTGGCGTAACTGAAAAACACCTTCCCTTGGCTTCTCGGCAGGACAGCCCAGCCGGCAGCTGAGGCCCATCTCGCCTGCGCCGCCATGCTTGCTCTTGTGGTCCTGGGGACCAAACAGACGGCTCACGGCCGCGCTCGAAGCTCCATCGGCCCAGCCGCCCGCGCTGGCCCCTCGCCTCCCCGGCTGAGGCCAGGGAGCGCGTCCCGGCCCCCCTCTCCCGTGCGGGGAGGCCGCTCCCGCCCCGGGGGCTGCGGGGAAGGGGACCGGCCCCAGCGCCGTGAAGGGCCAGACGCCGGGCGGGTCACAGGCGGCCTCCCCGGGGTGCGGAGACAAGCCGGGGCTCACGCCACCTCCCGCCCG